CTCTCTCTCTCTCTCTCTCTCTCTCTCTCTCTCTCTCTCTCTCCATTGCTTTTTTCTTTCCTTCTTCCATTTCAACTCCTCCCTTGTCTGATTGCAAATCTCCTTTCACCTTCTTCAGTAAGATACCATTATTGAAGTTTACACAGTACATGTTCAAAGTCTTGTTTTGAAATATATTAAGTTTACATTCTTTCGTGTGATATTTTGATAGTTTACGAATTACTCACATTTTCCCTTTTCGCATTCCCATTTTCTAAAAAATGTCTAGAGTGGAAAAAAGCTTGCCTACTACATGTTAAGGTTGATAGAAGCTTAAACTACATGTTATACTTGCCCAGCCAATGAAAGTTTTCTTTACCTTCCGTAATGAATTACACCCCTTTTAAGGCTGCGAGCAATTGAGTTTTGAGCAATAAATTTCACAACAAACTACTAAGTAACAGTTGTTCTAAAAGATAGCACCATCAAATTGTTCAACCGTGGGCGTGCAAATAACAAGAGCAAAAGGACCATTACAGAGGCGGTGCTCCCAGGGAGGGGGGGGGGGGAGGTAGGCCATAACCAATATGACTTTGAAATGCATTTCATGATAAAGAGTAACTTATTTCCCCTTTTATTTTGACATTATGTCTCCTTTTCCATCCTTATAAGTGCTCCTTTTCTTTTCTAATAAGTGTCCCTTTTCCTTGTGATAAGTGCACTATTCGTAAAAGAGTAGGGGGAACCCCTGGTGTAGTGGTCCACCTGCACATCCCAATATATACATCTGCAAGAATCTTCAGTATTGAAGGAGACAGATCAGGGGCGGCCGAGCGACTTCCAAAGTGGGGGGGGGGGCACCAACAAAAAAGGGCACTTTCTGGAAAAAAAGGGGCACCTACAGTGGGAAATCTCAAAGCGAAAATACACAATTTTTTAGACATTGGTATATACCCCTACATTGTGATTGCATTATCAGGGATGATTTCAATATTTGTTTCTCTTCATACATCATACAAGATATCGCTTAAGCATCATACTTTACAGTTGGGTGGAATGTCTGAATATGCATTTACGAGCGAGCGAAGCGAGCGAGAAAAAATTTTAAAGATCTGTGAGGTCGCAGTGCGAAAAATTACATCTTATAAAGAGGAAAAAAGCCAATCGTGATGGGGTTATAAGCACATTCTCATAACGGAAGACTGCAAAGACCTTTGATAAGTAACATAATTATATCATCTTTAAATGCGAGCGAGCGCAGCGAGCGAACTTTGAGGGAAATAAGGGGCACGTTTAATGATTAAATGAAAAGGGGACAATTATCGAAAGGGATAAGACACTTATTAGAACAGAAAAGGAGTACGTGTCAAAGTACAAAGGATAATTATAAGAGGTGAAAATGAGGCATTTTTTCACCTGAAAAGAGGCACTCACCAGTGATGAAAAAGAGGCGTTTAAAAATGGGAAATAGGCATTTGTTGACGGAAAAGGGGCACCCATCAGATTTTGAAAGGGGCATTTATAAGAGGTGAAAAGGGGATAGGTCCCTTATTAGAAAGGAAAAGAGTCACGTATCATTATTAAAAGGGGAATTATCAGAGTTGAAAAGGGGCACTGACCAGATATGAAAAGGGGCACTTATGAAAATGTAAAAGGGGCACTTATAATAAAGGAAAATGTGCATTTGTTGAATGAAAAGAGGGCACCGTACAGATTTTTTAAAGGGGCAGTTATGAGAAGGGGAAGGAGCTTTTTCTTTTTAATGGGGGCACTTATCATAAGGAAAAGGGGCACTTATTAGAAAGGGAAAGGGGTAGTTATGAGAAGGGGAAGGAGCTCTCTCTTTTTAATGGGGGCACTTATCATAAGGAAAAGAGGCACTTATTAGAAAATAAGAAGGGCACATGTTAAAATGAAAGGTGTGCTCTTTCGAGTTTAAAAAAGGGGTAGTTATTAAAAGGAGAAGGGGCACTTCTTACGAAGGAAAAAAAGGGGAAGTTGTCAAAGTAAAAGGAGCACCTCTCAGTTTTGAATTGGGCAATTATCAGAGGTGAAGGGGGCACTTATTAAAAGTGAAAAGGGGCACTTCTCGTACCTGAAAAGAGTCACTTACTAGAGATTAAAAAGGGCACTTATTCAAGATAATTTCAAGATTTATGAGAATGGATAATGGACACTTATTGCAAAGGAAAATGGGAACATGTCGAAGGAAAAGGGGCACGTGTCAAAAATAAAAAGGGCACTCGTCATAGGTGAAAAGGGGGAAGAGGCACTTTTACTAAGTAATAGAGGCACTTGTCAAGTAAAAGGGGCACCTTTCCTATGTAAAAGGGGCACTTCTTACAAAATAAAAGGGGCACTTTTCCTATGTAAAAAGGGGCACTTTGGTATCTGAAAAAGTGGGGGGCACTGTGCCCCCTGCCCCCCCCCCCCCGGAGGGCCGCCTCTAAGACAGATTATCCATAAGAAGAAGAAGAAGAAGAAGAACTTGGCCTACTAAATATCGACGAGGTGATATTGAAACGGGACACCGGTCTATAATACGATACCGCAATAACTAAAGCATATTTGTCTTATATATACTACAACGTTATATTTGAATTTGTCATACCTCTGATGTATATTATACTTTGATTGCCATGGATTTAATGTATTCATATTTTTTTTGTTTATGTTGTGTTTTACATTTATATATTAGGGACTTTTAGATTTGCATGTCGACATAGTGGGCTGCTACGAGTGATACCTTTTAAGGCACTGTTGTGTCCCTTTAAAGATACCATGTCCCTTTTGCAGCCAACATCAAATTATGTAGAACTTTGCAGGAATTATGAATATGTCATGTATGTCCTAATATTTAAATTACGGAAGGAAACCTGTTTACTTGCTAGATTTCACTGCCAGACAATATTGAGTGACTGACTGGTCTTATTTGGTAATAACATACATAAAATGAGCTGTAAAGGGTACATGGGCATTTGTCTACATCAGTAACCCACTTCTTATAATGGCCAAAATTAACTGATTGAATCTTTGCGCAGCATAAAACGTACGACCATTCTGTACAATGGTCTGAAAAATCAGACTATTACTTAATGACTCTATAGCTTCTGAGTCGATTTGACAACTAATAGTCGTTATTTTCCCACTTAAAGACATTTTCAAGCCCCCTTTTTTTAGAGAAGTTCTAAGCTAGTATTATCTTTCAAATGCCGTTGTAATTTAACCTTTTAATTGTTTTGGCCTGCAAAAGGGACATAGTACCTTTAAGGCACTGCCAGTGCCTAAAAAAGGACGTCACACGAAGCACTCCACTATGTCGACGTGCAAATCTAAAAGTCCCTATTGTAATAACCGCTCGATACAAGGCCCCCTTGTAAAGCAGGCATTGTGGCACTGAATGGGGTGACCCTGTTTTTGTTTTAAAGAACACTGAATAAATAAATAAATAAATAAATAAAACGGGAGCGAAATCAGCAATACAAAGGCTGCACGTGTCGGATGAAGAAGTTCCAATAGAATTAGTGTACGATCATGAACTTACGAATTTGAAAGGAAGCCAATAAATAAACGGGGTCGTGAAATCAAAGTTCATAAGTCCAGCAACATTCGCTACATTACCGTTAGAGATGGCTACCGCTGATAAAAGAGGTATGTATAGCATGCGTTTCATGTTTCTGCTTACCTGTATCGCATCAATCAGTGTGGGATTTGAATATGTATATATGGTATATTTACTTGAAACGATTATTCCTGACATGATAAAGCCCTCGTGCGATATATTGCACACGAATATGCTATATACCTGTGGATTTTACGACACAGTGTCATAAATCACTTATCTGTAATTGATAGAGATTGAGTGGTCATGCTCTGGTTTCATACTCTAACCGAATTCCTATCTTCAAATTTAATTGGGGGAAAAACTTCTAATTATAAAGTTATAATCTATGTGACCTTGAATCATGTATCATGGTAAAGTGCAACTTATATCCTGTCTAATGATACCATATTTATTATGAATAGGGTCTCATTTGCCAAAAAATAAATTACTCTTTATCATGAAATGCATTTCAAAGTCATAATGGTTATGAGTTTTTAATTATAGGAGAAACCAAGTTGGGTACACTTTTTTGTATACGCACTGTATGGGCGACCAAGTTTTTGTTTTTAAAGAAAACTGAATAAATAAATAATAAAATAAAATGGGAGTAAAATCAGCAATACAAATGCTGCATGTGTCGGATGAACAAGTTCCAAAAGAATCAGTGCACTATGATAAACTTTCGAATTTGAAAGGAAGCCAATAAAATAAACGGAGTCGTGAAATCAAAGTTCATAAGTCCAGCAACATTCGCTACATTACCGTTAGAGATGGCTACCGCTGATAAAAGAGGTATGTATAGCATGCGTTTCATGTTTCTGCTTACCTGTATCGCATCAATCAGTGTGGGATTTGAATATGTATATATGGTATATTTACTTGAAACGATTATTCCTGACATGATAAAGCCCTCGTGCGATATATTGCACACGAATATGCTATATACCTGTGGATTTTACGACACAGTGTCATAAATCACTTATCTGTAATTGATAGAGATTGAGTGGTCATGCTCTGGTTTCATACTCTAACCGAATTCCTATCTTCAAATTTAATTGGGGGAAAAACTTCTAATTATAAAGTTATAATCTATGTGACCTTGAATCATGTATCATGGTAAAGTGCAACTTATATCCTGTCTAATGATACCATATTTATTATGAATAGGGTCTCATTTGCCCAAAAAATAAATTACTCTTTATCATGAAATGCATTTCAAAGTCATAATGGTTATGAGTTTTTAATTATAGGAGAAACCAAGTTGGGTACACTTTTTTGTATACGCACTGTATGGGCGACCAAGTTTTTGTTTTTAAAGAAAACTGAATAAATAAATAATAAAATAAAATGGGAGTAAAATCAGCAATACAAATGCTGCATGTGTCGGATGAACAAGTTCCAAAAGAATCAGTGCACTATGATAAACTTTCGAATTTGAAAGGAAGCCAATAAAATAAACGGAGTCGTGAAATCAAAGTTCATCAGTCCAGCAACATTCGCGATTCAGTAGAGATGGCTACCGCTGACAAAAGAGGTATGTAGCATGCGTTTAATGTTTCGGCTTACGTATACCTGTATAGCATATATCAGTGTGGGATTTGAATATGTACGTAACTATGTTACATTTACATAAAATGATTATTCCTGACATGATAAATACCTCGTCTATTTTGGCACGCGTGATATATATTGCACACGAATATGCTACCTGTAATCACGCTCACTTATTTGTAATTGATAGAGATTGAGTGGTCATGCTCTGGTTTCATACTCTAACCGAATTTCTACCTTCAAATTTAATTGGGAAAAAAGTGTACCCAACTTTGGTAACTTCTAATTATAAAGTTATACTCTATGCGACCTTGAATCATATTTCAAGGGAAAGGGCAACATTCACCCTGTCTAATGATACCATATTTATTATGAATAGGGTATCATTAATTTTGACAGAAAATGAGTTATTCGTTATCATGAAATACATTTCAAAGTCATATTGGTTATGAGATTTTAATTATAGGAGCTACCAAGTTGGGTACACTTTTATATACGCACGGCATGGATGACCAAACCTATAATACATTTAGAATCAACAATAAATTAATAATAACAGCCACGAAGTGAAGGAAATCTTTTCTTAAGGCATAAAATGAAATGTGTTAAGTGTAAATTTGTATATTATGTGAAACGTTTTATCTTTTGTGAAACGTTTTATTTATGTTCTTATTTGTATAATTATTATGTGCTTGTGCAAGACAGACCGCGTGCGAGTGCTTGTGTTTGGAGGCTTATTAAAGTATGACTTGTATAATGATATCAATTTACATGTTTTGTGAGCGCGCAAGACCGATTCCGATGACAGGAGTAAACCTAATGTCATGACCTTTCTGTTTAGCGCTTAGAAACATCGTGGATGTATTATGCCCGATGTACACTAGGCATCTTTTCGATTGCATATTATTCTCCCTAACCAAACAAGTAAATCTAAGCAATATTTGAAATATTTGCTCTAGCTTATGCAGTACATCACACGACAGCAAATGAAGCCCCCTATGCAACACGCATTAGGCGTTATTTAAGTCCATACTAATGATTTTTGTAATTATATTTAAAACCACTGCGTTTTCTCGTCGTTTAAATCTTAGAAGATCCTATATACGTTTCCCCGATGGTGACGGGACCGACGATGAAGGAACTAGAGGACATCTCCGCCGAGCTCAATCTCGGATTGGAAGGGAGTACCGTGCTCAAAGAATATCAGTCAGTCATTAACGAGTCCTTGGAGATGGTGAACCAACTCGATGACCTGGTCGAACCCAGTCTGCCGGTGAAGTATCCACGAACTCCGGGTTACCGACCCTCAAGGAAAGAGAACCCTCACAATGCATGGTAAGAGATAGTTATCCGAGCAGATAGTTTTCAGATATATTAGTGTATATCAAACTTTTTTTTCTGAAGAGTTTCATAAATCTATTGAATCTATTCTGACAGCACACCTGTCCTTAAATTTTGAGCCTCATGTATCTGCTCTTCATTTTAACTTTGGAAAAGGTATTACAGTCAACGGTCAAGGGAGCTGCTAATGGGATACTGTCGGGAAACGGATCGCTATCAAAGACTCGATTGCCGTGGCGGGAATCCCGATGATGATGGGATGCTATGCTTTAGAGGGATATGTTCCCGATTTTGATGCCACGGTCGTCACAAGAGTTCTGGACGAAGGTAAAGGATTCTTTTGTCTGGAAAGGACTCCGATATTAAAGGGCCACCAATCTTTATCTTTTTGTCTATCCATCCCCCTCTCCCTTTCCCCTCCCCTAAAAAACACCTCCCATTCCCCCTCTCCCACTATCTATCTAACTGGCCAACGGTATTGTTCGCATTGCAGAAAATAAGTTAAATGATCGACACATTTAAAGGGTAAAATGCCACAGAACCCCTAGCACATATTTTGCCCCTGTTTATCAATAATTGTTAAATATGCCACTGCAATTGCTATCTAGGTCGAAATCTTTGATATGTAACGGGAAGATATTTATTTTAAAAACTTTCAATTATTTCTGTAACCATTTGAAACTTTGCATCTGCATCATGTCCTCTGTATCTATGTTGTTCTGTATGTGAACAACGCTATTATTTTCTGAAGGTGGAGTTATTCTTGGCAAGGCAACATGCGAAGATCTGTGCTATTCTGCGAACAGTCATACGAGTGCCAAGGGGCCTGTTTCGAACCCCCTCAACAAACAACACTGTGCAGGTGGATCTAGCTCCGGATGTGCAGTACTGGTATGTAATGACTAGGAAGAAGAGGGGGAGAAGAAAGGAATAAGAGGACATAATATGGAAACGTTGTATCATCCACTCAATCTGACTTGCGTGCATAGAACAAATAAGCATTTTTGCATGAAAAAGTGAGGTCTTTTAAAAGGTGCGTTTCTTTCCAGCTTTGGGGTGCCTGGGAGTCACTTTGTTAACCTTTCCAAAAGTATAATATTACAAAAAATGTGGCGCTTTCTCTGTACTTTTGTCGCCTCTCTTTGCGTTTCAATTGCACTTCGACCGCTTTGATTAGCAAGCCCTTACTCGGTCAGGCGGCTATGGGGTGAGCCAGGCGCGGATCCAGGATTTCTTAGGGGGGGGGGGGGCCACTTCTTTTTTTTTGGTCCTCCCAAAAAAATCGCAACGACTCAGCAAGCCGCTGAATAAGCGGGGGGTGGGGGGGGGGGGGGGGGGGTAAGGATTTTTTTTTTTTTTGTCTCGAAATTTGAAAATTTGACATTTTGTTCCGTTTGGGGTGGGAGGTGAGGTCACCTTGTTTAGGTCAGCCATTGGCATAATTTTTTTTATTTTTTTATAATTAAAAAAAAAAAACATCACATAGGGGGGGGGGGGGGGGGTTTGCTCCAAAATACACACACAACAAAAACCCAAGGGGGAAGGTTCAACACCCCCCCCCCCCCTGCGTACGCGCCTGCTCGTCCTGTACAGTTTTTCGCCTCCCGCACGAAGCGCGGAAGCTTGTACGTTTCATTAAATCATTAGAGAAAGAAGACGATTCGTTGTACCGTTTTTTACTCTTAATCCTCGTCTGAATTCAGTTCCCCCCCCCCCATCCGCGCCCGCGAAGCGCGGAAGCTTTTACGTTTCATTAAATCATTAGAGAAAGAAGACGATTCGTTGTACCGTTTTCGACTCTTAATCCTTGTCTAAATTCAGATACCCCACCTCCTGCGCGAAGCGCGGAAGCTTTGACATTTAATTTAATTAATAGAGAAACAAGACGATTCGTTGTACCGTTCTCGTAAATAATCCTCGTCTGAATACAGTTTTTACGTTTCATTAAATCATCAGAGAAAGAAGACGATTCGTTATACTGTTTTCGACTCTTAATCGTTGTCTGAATTTCAAAAATGTTTTTTGTCTGCTCCTTTTTCTTTATACATCCTCTTCCTTTTCTCTCCTCTCTTTTTTTTGGCCGGCGTTTTTTTTTTTGGGGGGGGGGGGGGGGGGCTGCCCCCACTGCCCCCGTGCTACGCACCTGCGGTCAGATGAACATCTTTTGATACCTTGTCCGCCCCCTGGAAAGTCATGGTTTGAAGGCAAATTACGGTCAGATAAGCATTCAGGGGCCCGCCTCAGGGCCCCTGGTAGGGTCGAGGGTGCGGAAACCCCTGAATCTCAGGGGTTTCAGGCATTTACGGTCAGATGAACATATTTTATACCTTATTTGTGACATTGGCAGACACTGATTGCGTGAGGTCTAGCGGGCGGAGCCCCCAGAAGCTCAGGGTTTTTAGGCATTACATTACCGTCAGATTAGCATCCAGTGGGGTCCAGGGGGCAGAGCCCCCGGAAGCTCAGGGTTTAGGCATTTGATTACGGTCAGATGAACATATTTTTATACTTTATTTGTGACACTTGCTGGACACTGATTGGCGTGAGGTCCAGCGGGCGGAGCCCCCAGAAGATCAAGGGTTTTAGGCACTAAATTGCGGTCAGATGAGTATCAAGGGGCCTGCCCAAGGCCCTTGGTTGGGTACCGGGGGCAGAGCCCCCGGAAGCTCAGGGGTTTTAGGCGTTTAATTACGGTCAGATGAGCAATTTTTGATACCTTATTTTGTTGTGACACTGGTAGTTAACTATTCTTTCTTTCTTGCACTCTTTTCTTTCTATTTATCTTTAAAATGCTTTTCCAAAAGAAAAGATCCCGATCCCGCCGTTCCGCGGGCCCTGACATGTAGGCATCTCAAGAAGCATATTTCTTGCCTAGCTGTTAATTTAAAAACGCATACAAAAGTATAATTTACTAAAGAATGAGAAAAAATCCTGGAAAATTATGTCATTTCAGCATTATGTGTAAACCACCATTATGGAATTAGAATAAACCACGTTTAAATTGTATTTCCCCCGAGCCCCCTCCCCGATCAATATGCCAGTGCCCCCCCCCCCCCGATCTACACTTTGTTGGCGGAAAAATCGCAACTGATCTTCCCTACCTTTCTTCTTCCTCTTTCCCTTTCTCTCCTCTTTCCCTTTTCCTTCCCTTCCTTCTCTCTCCTTTAGGTTTGATGGGGGGGGGGGGGGGAGGGGGAGGCAAGGTCATTTCGGCCCCCACCCTTCTCCACACGTTGATAGCGGGATTAACTGCATATGATCTATTTCCCCTTCTTTTCACCTTTTTTTCGGTCCCTTTTAGCTCTCCTTTTTTTTTTTTCTTTCCTTCTTTCTCTTTTTTTTTTTAGCGGGGCGGGGGGAGGCAAGGGCATTTTGCCCCATCCCCACCCCGATCACAACTTGTTGGCGGAAAAATTGCGACTGATACCCCCTTCTTTCTATCTCCTTCTTTCTGTCTTATTTTTTTTGATTGGGGGAGGGGAGATGAGGCTCTTTCGCCCCCCGATCACTTCTTCCCCCCTTTTTCTTTTCTTCTTCCTCTTCTTTCTTTCCCTTTTTCTCCTCTTTCCCTTCTTTTCCGTCTCTCTCTCTCTCTCTTTTTTCCTTCTTTTTTTCCTTCTTTTTTTTTTCCTCCTTTTTTTTCCCCCTTTTTTCCCTCCTTTTTTCCTCCTTTTTTTCCCTCCTTTTTTGTCCTTCTTTTTTTTCCCAGGGGGGGGGGGGCGGGCCCCCCGGCCCCCCCCCCCCCTCCCCCCTGGATCCGCCACTGGGGTGAGCGGCTAATGAATATACTAGTCGTTAGCTTTCTTCTGGTATTAAACTTGTGTTGATTGTTAGTATATTGTTGTCGGAATTTACCATTTACATGATGGAATTACCTGCCCGTTTAATCCAGTTGCCGTGGCCCATGCACTCAACACTGTGTGGGAGCAGGGAATTAGTTGTGGTCAAATTCTTTTATGATCGAGACAAAACCAAGCAAACGTTTCCATATGAAGGAGTAGGGGAAAAAGAGGAGGAGGAGGAAAAGGAGGAGGGAGATGATGTTGAGGGAAAAAGAATGATGATAGTGGTGGTGTTGGTGTTAGAGATGGTGTATAGTGGTGGTGGACTGGTGGTGGTGGTGATAGTGATGATGATGGTATATAGTGGTGTTGGTGGAGGTTATAATGGTTGATATATGGTATAGTCTGCTGTTAATTTATACCCTGGCCTTGTGTATAGTGATCAGGGGGTTACATCCGACAGGAAGAAGCCCGGTGATACATTAATCGTCGCTGTTTTCACGAAGTGACGGTAGTGAAACAAAATTGCATTCACTTTGCGTGTAGATTTTCCTCACTACCGTCACTTCGTGAAAACAAGGAAAGTTGGTAGAATAGTTTTCGATTTGTAATGTTTATCTCTGATTAATTTTGTAGGTTTTGGTTATAAGTATAGCTTATGGTTATCATTATATTGTTACGATGTGACATGATGCGAGTGAAATCTCAAAGGCACCAAAAGTGTACACCCGGAAGTAGTGGCGGATCCAACACGTTAATTTTACCTTTTTTTTGGAGATGCCCCCCCCCCCCCCTGGCGCTCAAGGGGGGGGGGGGGGGGGGGTGCGATTTTTCCAAATTTTACGGGAGCAAAAAAAAAGTGCTCACTACTACCCCCCCCCCCCCCCCCCCCCCCCCCCCCCCCCCTGAGCGAAATATTGGCCGGCACGATTTTCACATTTCAGCTCACTAAATTTCAAATTGGTTTCAAATTTGCCCCCCCCCCCCTAAGAAATCCTTGATCCGCGCCGGAAGTCTTATTTTCAAAGGTGAGTTAATATTTTAACATCATATATAATAACAATTTTTCAACATCGTCCTGATAATATTGATGTCACTTTTTTTCTTGATCTACGCCAAGGTTGCATGTAACGAAGTGGACATGGCGATAGGAGGGGACCAAGGGGGTTCGATCCGGGTACCTGCAAGCTGGTGCGGGGTGGTAGGGCTGAAACCTACGTTCGGCTTAGTACCATATACCGGGGCCGCATGCAATGAATACACGGTGGACCATGTAGGACCTATTGCCAGGACGGTAGAGGGCTGTGCCTTGCTTCTGGAGGTAACTACAAGACCAAGACCATGCTGCATGATATAAGCGGGGCTATCCGGGTTTATTCCACCCCCTCCCCCCCCCCCCCCCCCCCCCCCCTCCCTCACCAATCCATCTCGAAGGAATACCGTCGTCTGTTCATTGTCTAGATACGCCTTTAAATAATTACGCTTTTCTTTCTTAAGCTGATAAAATTAATAATGAATGTCTTTCGCTAGAGATTGTGATACGGTCTGACACCGTCCCTTAAAACAAACATATTGACGAATTCATTTTTGTTATTTGCTAAATCTATTTGAGGATCAGTTTTGTTTGCTTGCCGGCAAAAGTTTAAATCTAATGACTTATTTTCTGTTTACTTTTTTTTGGAAACCTTCGATAAACTTGTCTACAAATTCGATCCACAATTCCTATTCAAAATCTTCTATACCTGAGTTATATTATAAACGCTGGTAAATGGGTTAATGTGCCTTCAATGTTTCCATTTTCCCCTTTTTTCGATTATTGAAAACATTTTTTTTTTTTAATGGAAAGACACATTAACATATCGATGAAGAAGAGGTAGCATACTCCCAAACAGTCCAAAATGTCCAAAGTTTAAGGCGATACATAAATAAACCTTAATGCAGTACTCATTATTATAAATGATTGTTTTTCTTCTTCCAGGTCATAGCAGGTTACGATGACGGAAGGGATGCCAGACAACAGTGCAACGTAGAGGTTCCAAACTATTTGAAAAACGTAAGATCAATCATAATTTTTGATGCTAACAGGATCCAACAAAATATTGACCCTTTTGATGTGTGTGTGTGTGCGTGCGCGCGCCTCAGCATTCTTGTGGGGTTTTATGTGCGCTTCACATACCCCTTGTGAGGCATTTTTACTTTGTGGGGTATTTTTTCAGGACCCCACAGAGTAAAGTCTTTCAAATGACTGTATATTCGGTGTCCTATGCCCTGCGGGGCATTAGAAGTGGTACCCCATAAATGACTTTTTGTGAGCGTGTGCTAAAACTTGCACACTTTTTTATGGTAACATCGTAAGCACACCGCCGGGTTGTTATCGCCAGGTTGTACATACCCCACTAGTAGGGGACCACAAGGTATATCTGGAACGCACAGAAATACCCCACAATCAGGTGCCCCACAAAGGCCCTGATGTGAGAATGCGTGTGTGCGTGTGTGTGTGTAATTGGGTTTTTACAACGTGTATCAATCAGATATGATTATTTACGTCTGGGAACCGACTTTTAACGTCACCATCCGAAAGACGTGACTCAGTTTCGAACCTGCGTCCTCGGCTGAATCAGTTTATAACTTCCATTGTAAGCTGGATTACAGGCGCACGCCACAACGCCCCTTTTGATGGAACATCCGCAGTGCTAAAGAAAAGCATGACATAATATTTAAGATGGTGGAGTGGAGGTGTCATTGTATAGTAGTTCGTTCACTTGACTCTCAGTCCACTAGTATTGAGAGTTCAAATCCCAGCCCGGCTCTTTCGTCCTTTGGCAAAATATTAATCCGCACTTGCCATTCTCCACCCTGGTGTAGATGGGTACCTAGGAATTGCCGGGGCTATGATAAATGCCGGGCCTTTGGAAAGAACAGCATTGATAATGATGACGCTTCCCCGGGTAAACAAAATCATGGTACACGGTAAAATAAAATTATAAACAGGACAAAGAATACGGATACTTTAACAAAATTATGTGTGTTCATTTTGCTTAATTTATTATGAAAAGTAATAAAGGATGGTGAATGTTTTTCTTTCTTGTAGTTAAAGAATGCCCCTACTAAACCACTACGCATCGCTGTACTAAAAGAGGGATTCGGCCATGAGATTTCGGACCCTGAAGTAGACAAACTTATACGTCATACCATCAGTCGATTCGCTGCAAGCAGCGGGGCAACGGTGGAAGATGTTTCGATTCCTCTTCATAAGATGTGTATGTATATCATCAAGAAGTAGTATTAGGTTCAATATTTCGCAATACATCTCGATTGACCCCCACCCCTCTTTCGACCTCCACTAACTCAATATCTCTCATCTTGCTCTCGCTCTCTCACCCCCTCTCTATATCTCTCTCCTCTCTCTTTTTCATCTTTTTCTCTTCTTCTCCTCCTTTCCACATTTTTGCACCCATTTTCTATTGGATTTTGAGGTTTTATCTAATTTTATTTAACATGTTTAAAGCCTTTATAATTTGTTTGTAGCTGTTGTGAATATTCGACCGGACCTGAACTATCTGACTTATGATTATTTTTTAATCAAAGACTTGTTAATTAGCCAATGCATTTTGCTATCCACTTTGCTTGCAATGTTTTCGTATTTTCGTGTGATAATAGTTATAGGCTTACTATTCGATTTGTACAATGTTACTAAAAAATATAACCAGGAACAAAGGGGCGATGAAGCGTCTTCCAAAGTGGGGGGGGGGGCACCAACAAACAGGGCCCTTTTTGGAAAAAGAGGCATCTACAAAGGGAAACCTTTTTTTTAAAGACATTGGTATCATACCCCTATATCGTCATGACTGTGATTACACTACCAGAGATGAGATCAAGATACAAGGTTTAAGAAACATCTTAATTTGCAGTTGGGTGTGATGGTCTGAATATTTATTTTGAGCGAGCGAACAATTATTTTATTATTTGTGAGGTCGCAGTGCGAAAAATTACATCTTATAAAGAAGACATGAAACACACCCTGATGAGTTTTAAGCACAATCTAATTAAGAAAGATTGAAAAGTTCTTTTAAGAGTAACGTGATTATAACAACTATAAATGCGAGTGAGCGTAGCGAGCGAGTTCTAATTAATGAAAAGGGGGCTCTAAGTCGCCTTGAATTAGGGGTGCATGTTATGGAAAAAGAAAAGTAGGCATTTATCAGAAGGGAAAGGGACAGTTATCAGAAAAGAAAAGGTGCACGTATCAAAGTAAAAAGGGCGGTTGTCAGAGGTGAAAATGAGGCAATGGAAATAGGGCATCTTTTGAAGGATAAAGGGCAAATATCAGATTTTAAAAGGAGCACTTATCAGAGGACAAAAGTGGCATTTAAGAGAAGGGAAGGAGTTCTTACTACAAAGGGCAAAGTGCTCTTATTAAAAATGAAAAGGGGCACGAGTCAACGTAAAAAAGGGGCATATTATTTAAAGGTGAAAAGGGGAATTTCTCGCTACTGAAAAGAGGCACTCACCAGAACTGAAAAAGAGCACTTATGAGAATGGAAAAAGGGGCGCTCATTATAAACGAAAGGGGGCATTTGTCTTTGAAGGAAAAGGGGCATTTTTCAAAATAAAAGGAGCACTTATCAGCAGTGAATAGAGGCACTCACCAAAGAAGAAAAGGGGCACTTATCAGAATAATAACAAAGGAAAAGGGGCACTTGCCAAAGTAAAACGTGTACCTCTCAGATATGAATAGAGGCAATAATTATCAGAGGTGAAGGGAGCACTTATCAGAGGTGGTAAGGGGCACTTCTCGTACCTGAAAATGGGGCACTTACCAGAGATGAAAAAGGGCATTTGTGACAATAAAAAAGGGACACTTATTGCAAAGTAAAAGGGGCAGTTGTCGAATGAAAAGGGACACTTTTCAGATTTTATTAGGGGGATTTATCAGAGGTGAAAAGGACATTTATGAGAAAGTGAAGGGGAGCATATTAAGGATATATTGACTGCTTTGAGAGGCATAGTGGTTTCTATAGGGTCAAGGGAAACTCACAACCTGCTATCACCCCAAGGCGCTTGCGCCGCGGGGTCATAGCAGGTTGTGAGTTTCCCGAGACCCTATAGAAACAACTATGCCTCGAATATTAAAAGCAGTCAATATATATTTTATATACCGAAAAAAAGGAAAATGTTGACTCATGCACCCATTTAGGTTTCCATCTCTTTGAAGTCATGAATATTAACACCAACAATAACTTGTGTACAGTATGAAATCCAACAAGCTGTGCTCCAGTAGAACAGGGAATACCAAACACGTTTACACGAACAGTAACTTTTGTACAGGATGATATCACCAACAAGCTGTGCTCCAGTAGAACAGTAGAACATGAACAGTAACTTTATAAATTCACAAATTCGCAACATATTTACACAGACTGTGCCAGTATTTTGCGATCGAGACTAGTACACAAAATGGCGATCGGTCGTCTGCGCTGCGTGGATTGGTAGATTCGTCGCCTGAATGAGCGACCAAAATCGAATTGCACTCAAACACCGTTAACGGTATTGCGCATCGGTCATCGCACAAAAGAAACTTATACGGTAACACGTAAACCAAAATGGGGATCGCAGCAAAATGACGTCACGTTTCACAGCCATGGAAAAAGTGCTATGAAAAATGGATATAAACCGGTAGAGCCGGGAAAAATGACTATGAATTTCAATTAGCGGGCATGGTTAAGAACATGACTGCATTTTCAACCAATCAGAAGACAGGATTAGTAAAGAATCTTAAAATGAGGTATATAATAAAAAATAGGGGTAAGGGTGCACTTATCACAAGAAAAGGGGCACTTTTCCTATATATAAAAAGGGGCACTTTTGAGGTACCTGAAAAGTGGAGGGGCACTGTGCCCCGCCTCTGCAGGAACAATAGACTAATCAATGTGTGTCATAAATGTTCAGCAGAAAACACCAGATGTCAGTGACGTCCAATATTGTTTATAATTTTTTAAAAATCCTATTGTCGTTTTATGAATCTTTATTTTTGTTTTTGCAATTGAACATGTTACTACCTTTCTTCGTTATTTTATGCAGCTGTCGCGCTTTGTGTCTCCATCTTGGCTGTGGAAGGGGTGGACTGTCTGTTTACATCAGGGTGTAAGTATAAAACATCTTTAAATATTGCTGTTGAAAACGAAATTAGTGAAAACTAGGCGGATCAAGGGGTGATCATGAGGCTCCACATCCCTCATTCCCCGTTTCTTCTTTTGGCTTACCAAGGTTTATCTGACGTAAATCGGTAGAAATATGTTACGATATATGCATGATCATTAACCTTGCATTGCGCAGAAAACACATTAACAAATGTCAATTTGTCACGGTTACTTAGTCTATGGGTCAGTGTTCGATTGATCAACTGTTTAAAAGAAACCGCGAATCAAGCTCTAAAATTGAGACTCAGTTTGTGTGCAGGAATCGTGTGAGTGTCGATCATGGTCTATAATCATAATTATTATGTCATTTGTATCATTATAGGTGCGGGTTTGAACCATACTGGTTATTATCCAACCAGTATGATGAGCGGAGTTGGAGCAAGGTTGAAGGCTAACATGACCAAACTAGCACCTTGTCATAAGGTAAGGTTTATCTATCAAGTCTAATATCACTCCATCGATAAACCTAGTTTGATCAGTAACCATTTTAATCCATTGCATAGTGGACCGTGCACATAATTAAAGATGTGGCATTACTCGTTCAATCATTGAGAGAAATATATATTTATTATAAAATATATTGTAAATGTTATGAATAATTTTCAATGAAATGATTTCATATAAAAGTATCAGAGATTAAAACCACTTATATTAGCCGAAATAGTTATGCACTGATTGCTATTTTGTCATTATAGAAATATTTATAGTTTTCAAGCTGTGCAGGAATGTCAAACTTTCAGGCCAGTCGTAATGTTGTTCAAACCAATACATCAGAACCCGTTTTTTTCTTCCTTCTTTATGAAACTATGATGTATCTAATTGTTATTCATCAAAAGGCTAGGCTGCTACTCGGGAACTACCTTAAGAAAAACTACTGCGCCGTCTATGGCAAGGCGCAGAATCTCCGCCGGCTTCTCACTAAGGGTTATGACGACGTGTTGGAGAAGTTTGATGTGGTTGCCATGCCAACCACACCATTCACGGCGCCAAAACTTCCTACACAAGCTGATTGGATGAAAGGTAAACATCACCTCAACTGTCAATTTCACAGAATAATACTCTGCTCACCTTCAATTGACAAGTGATATGTAAAATGACAAAAAGAAAACTATTTCGGAAGCATTAATGATTCTATCGAATGTCTAATTGCAGACCAGTCTGAAAACTACAAATCTGTGAATTATGGCACGTATACGAATGATTGAACAAGGTTTAACCATCTCTACTTTACCCACACCCTCCCACCCACCTTAAAAAGAGAAACACCAAAGACCCGTTTCACAAAACCTTTTTTAAATGACAAATGACAAAAATCAGTGACAAAATCTGCTGATAACCAATCAGAAGCAAGGATTTCACTAGCTTATAACAAAAAATGTTATTTGTCACTGATGACAAGTTTTGTGAAATGGGGGCCCTGAAATATGATGAAGATAATTAAGGATTGTTTTCGTCTTACTCTAAAATAAAATCTAAAATTAGAGTAAAAAGTTCACGTGAACAAATGCCATTATTTTCTATGCAGAAATTCTCGGCCATGACACCGACATGACATGGAATTTGAAGGCGGGAAACTTAACGGGTCATCCTTCTATCAGCATCAACGCTGGGGTTGTAGAAGGTTTACCAGTCGGACTTCTGCTTACCGGCAAGAAATTCCAGGAGCTTGAACTTCTACAAGCGGCCTACGCCTTTGAAAAGTTTCTGAGTAGCAGCGTCAGTGAATGATAGAAAGCAAATTACGCAGCCATATAACTCAGCTGTATGATTTTAAAACTTGGTTAAACACAATAACAACACTGTGAAGAAGTCAACCTTAAGCCTCGGTCACAAATGCCATTACGAACGCCGTACGAACGATTTTCAGACAATGGAAATTCGGGAAGACAATGGAAAAACAGGGAGATTCGTACGAAATTATCGTTCGTACGAACCTTTGTGGCCGTAGCATAAGGCAATTCAAGTAGCCTGAATAGTGCGTCTCCGATTGTAATGAGCAGACATGACGTAAACGGTAAACCGAACATGATTTATTTGGGTAATACAATGGGGTATCGAAACTGACTTTTAGTTGATTTCTTGAAATTCTTTAAGATCTACTTGTTTGTTCATGTCTACTACAAGTGCTTCCAATTCAGAAATTTCCAAATGCCTGCCTTGAAATTTCTCCCCAGATGTAATGGGACGAAACGAGGAAAAAAATCAAGGTAACCGAGGCAAGTGATAGGAAGTTAATTTACAAAATGGAATTATGTTCATGTGTTATGCATATTCATTCTTTGTTTTCAGAATTCTTTGTTGATGTTGTTGAGTGATGTCTCATTACCATTTCATGGAAATTGGATATGGTTACATTTGAAAGATTATAGTTTTCCAAGTAGCCTGAAATTTTGAAATATCTGAAATGATCTTTTCATATTGAAATGGTGCTTTGTAGTTTCAATGGGTATTTTTGATAACCCCAAAAGGCTCTTTTAGAAGTTCAAATAAGTATTTTCAATACTTTAAAAGAAACTCTTGATCATTGGGAAGCACTTTTAAAAAACAATTACGTGGTCACATTTTCCCTATTTTTATCAATGATATTTTTAAAAATAGTATCATTATATCTTCATACTTACAAGCATTTATGCTTTCTTAGCAGTCAGGTAAAATTGTTGGGACGAAACTGTATATGCATTTTTATGCTCTGTACATACGGATATCAGCTAATACAGGAAATACTTATATGATATTGGATGGCCAGGAGTGTGAAACAAGAATATATTGCTCGAGTCAAAGACGAGTCTAATATAGTCTTAGCGAGAGCAATATATTCTTGTATCACATGAAAACAAAGCTATACAATATAATTATTATTATCTATATCATTATGACTAGCAAAACAACAAAATTTGACTTACGTCAGTAAATACGGCTTTGTTTTTGTGTGATATCGATATGATATCAATAGTTGAAGTTCCCGGATGACTGAGCAATACGAAAACAATATTGGTCAGTCATCCGGATACTGTGCTAAAGATATTGAATAGACTGATTTATTGTACCACTTAGAAGCCTTATTATAAATATTACTGTTATTAAGAGATGGAGGTCAATATCTATTTATGTTATCATATTTTCTGTGTAATGTGTCTGCTATTCCCTATCGCCCTGTAGCACTACAAGCATTATTTTCACAATTAACCGAATTTGAGAATCTGTCACCAGATATGTTTCAATTTTAGCTAGTTACAAGAGAAAAAACCCATCTATTTAACACAATAATGTCCAGAAATGAAGCATAATTTCTAAATGCAAGCACTGGAATTTCATTACAGTCAATATCTTTCAGGGAAAATTGATAATACTTACAGAGCAGAAATGCAGGGTATAAATACACTCATAATTAATACAAGCAAATACAATATGTCCTTTTTATATCCTTTAATCATTCACAAAAAAGCATTTGCATGATCTCTCTTTAAGTAAAATCTCAACATAATCATCTGCCCCAATTCCATTAGATATATTGCATTACATATTAAAAAGATAATGAACTGTACATTTTCAAAAAGAAATCTTGTACATTTAATATAAATTGCTCACGTTCAGTCCCAATTCCACATGAATATACATAGCACATAGCAATATGTTTGTATATTACACTCGGGTATCATATAGTGTTCATCATATGAAGTGTACATTTTCATTAATTATATATTCCCTCATGTATACATATGTTTGTTTCTTCAAATACAATCAAACAATCCTCCATGATTAGAACTGTACAACTACATATAATTTGGAGTAAAAAAGTAAGCAGCATGATGACTATTACTAAAAGGATATATTCTAATTTTGAAATTTGCAGACAATTAGAAACGGTTAATCTATTGCTAAAATGAGTTGTTAGGTATGTTTCATTCACCTTTACATATGTATAATATAGTCAATATTATAGGAACATTATTGAGATTGTACTGTTACCTAATATTTTTTCTAATTTGATTGAGTTGTGATCAAGATGGAATAGAAGTGAAAATAGTATCATTGAGAGTAGTTCATGCAAGGGAACATGGTCAACAATAAGGTTGAACATATCCAACACAAATATACCGGTAATCATCCATTACGAGAAGAAGTTAATGAAAATTACTAATCTATATATAACAAACGGCCATGATGTTGCATAGGCCATTATCTGTGCATAGTCAGTCTAAAATCAAAAGTTCATGGTAGCAACATATTTTTACATCTCCACCTGATGACCCCTCCCCCCCCCAAAAAAAAAAAATAAAAATGGAAAAGATTAATTCAGATGTATACCTCAAGTTTAGTTCCTGGACGAGGGCCCTGTAACACAGCAGTCGACTTACAATCCATTCAGTGTACAAATATATTACCTCTCCAATGTAGCTTACCATTACCATGTATTGTATATCTGTTACATAAGTCAATCCTGAGTTACTATTTAATGTAAAGTTAGAACTGATTGAAGCAGATTAACAATTTTTTTTTGTTTTTTTTTTGGGGGGGATACAGTGGATTGCAACTCTTTGTGTTACAGGGCCCAGGTTTAACATAAAACAAAACTATGATTCTGAACCTCAAAGCACATAATTACACGTAGAAAAATGGGAAACGGCATTACGAATGAATTGGGTAGGGGCAGGAAGAGATAGAGATTATTGAATGTATAGGACTTTCTATTTCTTTATAAATATGTTACTCAAGAGTTTTATGAAACCCAAATGACACTGAAATTCTATAATATTCCATTGCCCTTTATTGAAAGATAGAATATTGACAGAAAAAATTAATGTAACACCAACACTTTACTTGCAAATTACATAAAATCAGAACTACAAACTTACAAAATTCTATAAAAATGTAATTTACATACATGTATATTCTCTTCTAATACAGAAAGTTTCATATACTTAAATACACACATACATATAGTGTTCTCATACAAAATATGACTTGACCAGCAATGTTATTCAAATACATTGTGAAATATAAAAGATCGACATGGCACAGCCATCCCAAATTGTAGTGTAATACATATATAACAAATATGTCACAAAAACATGATAATATATGCTCATTTAATTAATATAATGATGGGACTGCTCACAAACATAATGAAATCAAGACTGCAAATAATTTATACCTGTGAACATTCGTCCATGATTAATTCAATAAAAAAATGACAATAGATTACTAAAATATACAAATTTGAAAGCACTTATATCAATGTGTGATTAACAGATGTTATTAGATTCAGCACCATAACAAACAAAAAATAGTCGTAAGCATATATGAGAATAATAACTGAGAAAGAAAAAATAAATGCATTTATCAAGATACAATGTTCTTGTGATATAGACATTGTGGTAGTAACAGTAATTCTGCTCTAGAAAGATTAAATTATTACTTTACAGGATATGACATCAAACAAGAACATTTCTTTTGACATTTGATATATTCATTTTGACTCTGCCTCGTGTTTGTGCATTACCGTATATATTATTCTGACAGAATATACTTTATTCTGGTACTCAATAAGACAATCTGAAAATTAGATATAATAGCAATTCACTGTTACAAAATTCATACAAAAGAGAGAAAGAGTTTGACGCAAAAAAGATTTAAAACAGCAATACAGATTTTGGAAGATATCTTGCATTGAAGAAAGAAAGCAATAACATTTGTTCATTATAAATTATATCATCAGTATGATGATTATAACTGTGGAAGAAAAAGGATACAGGCTATATAAATTCTTCTAAAATGGGGAAAATTAGCATATTGCTTTGTATTTTGTTGTCATATCAAGGATAGTAGAGATGTCTTGGCCTAGTGGTTATGATTCAGGATCATAGATCAACTGGCCTTAGTTCAAACCTCGGCATGATGGTCTGTAGACAAGACATTAATCAACATTAGTCATTCTAGGCGTGGCTGAAGTAAACTGAAACCTGGTGCATAGACTTCTTGATGGTTTGAGAGCCTTATCATGGAAGCATTGCATATCCTAATGCACTATAGTGTACCCCATGTAAAGTGCAATGACGAGCACAGAGCTTTGAATTACCTTGCAGACACCCGTACAGGATTACCATTTAACATCTTTGCAACATTGCTCTTTATTGATAGAAAATCAAATCAAGTTGTTTCCTGTTTCCCGATCACATAGAAAGAATCTTGTATCAGAGTACCTTCATATCATGTAAATTTGAAAAATGACAGCCTTATTCATTTTAGTTTTAAGAATTAATCATTTTAATCTGAAAACAAAAACATGTATTGTCTAGAATCATGCATGAAAGATCTGAGTATATTCTTCAAACAATTTGATTTCCATGAAAGAATTTTCAGTCTGAAAAAATAAGACCTTTCCTCCAACAAAACGATGTTCTAGATCTTTGCCCAATTTTTAAGAACCAAGTCTGAAAAAGTTAGCATTTTTTGGGGGGCAAAATGGAAAGCGACAATGTTCTTCTTGCCTTGGCCCAATTTATTGTTCAAACTTTTCAAAGACAGATTAACACTTGAATGACCAACGGTGACTTATCAAAGACAAGTTGAAGAATGACTAGCACGACTTCTGGAGTTCATTTCGTATCCACATCACCCCAAGAGTGAATGACAGGCAGGCAGACGCAGCTCATAAGTGGACCTGAGCGCTCCGCACCCCCCAGCTACTGGGAGGAGACCTTGGGCGCCGTGGATTGGCCACTCGCTTTGGAAAACCTGAGGGGTTAAAAAAAAGGAAGGGTGGAAATAACATAGGCAACATGAGTGAGTTGTGGTTCTTTGAATTTATCATACAGATACAAAATAGGTTTCCTCCTTTAATTACACAATTTATTAACATAAATAGAAACTTATCTGTGAATTAAAAGTTTTTAAATTTCATCTGTAAGATATTCACAACTAAATGAATTTGCTACAAAATAAAATATTAATTGATGTCAGATGAATCATAACAATCGATGCTTAACGCATGATTTCTCAAAAATACATGCTTTCTTAAGCAAAATTTGGGAAATATATTCTCTGATCCCTTCAGATTTTACCAACACACTTTATCATCTTTGATGTATTAGTTATGCAAAAATGAGTTACTCACCAATTTCTTGGTCTTTATAGCTTACAGGACCTTCCTTATAAGCAGGTTTGTAATCTAATAGTGTTTTCTCTGTGAAAAAAGCAATGTTTGTGGAAGAGAACCAAAAAAAAAACTGTGCAATAAAGCAAAATTGAAGCAAAATGAAATTTGGACTACATGAAGAAGTGGGTTGATATGGTGGTGAATGAGAAATAAAAAGAACTTTAAAATCATTAGTGCATTTTCATGATTTTTTGCTATCCTGAATAGTTTTTAAAAAGGAAAAAAAAAACACGACAAAACTTACAATTATATTTAAGTTAAAACTACTAATGGTTTGAAGAAAAAAAAAGGAATATTCCATATACACATACTACGACACTACGACACTTGAGTTACGAGAAGAGACTAAAACTTGCCATCTCTTGCCTACAGACGCCGTAGAGCAGATATGATACAGATATACAAACTAATGCATGGCCTAGATGAACTGGATCTAGCACACTTCTTTGACCATCCAACTGATAATAGAACACGTGGACATCGATACAAGATCGCTAAGAAGAAAGTCTACTCGAAGCTTAGACATGGATCATTTTCACAGAGATGTATCAATGAATGGAACAACCTCTCCTCTGTAGTTGTGGAGAGCACGTCACTTAACAGCTTTAAATCCAATTTGTTGAAATTTTGGTCGTCAAGAAAAGATCAATTTGACCCAGAGGAGTCTTTCGCTTGTCCATGTTCATCAATTGCTGTATAGCGCCACTAAACATGTGTCAAAATACGAATTCTTCATCCAAATGTCAATGAGAGGCAAATAAGTTTTTAACTTTAAATGTCTACTTCCAAGGTATATTTCCAAGGTATCCAAGGTATAACTGATTCTCACTGTTGGGGTATTTTTGATTAAGTGCACCATAATATATGCTGATGGTCATTCTGGGGTAAATTTGTGTTACTTTGAACATACTATTATCTAGCTACTGTAGAGTGATAATGGTTAGCATAAGAGTGAAATATCAAAAGCATGAAAAAGTGGTCTAGTTATGAAATGAAAAGCATAAGAAAAACAAGATGAATGTGATTGTATCTCTTATATGCCTTTGCCTATATATTCATTGATTGGTTGGCATTATTTCAATACTTTCAAGTTATCGCAGCAACAAGATTTTTTCTGTTATTTTTCAATACTGTTATGACCCTGTGACCTTTCGCATTTTCCACCCAAAAATTGAATCAGTTCATCCTTGTATGCTCATTTATACTTCTACAAAGTTTGGTTTGAATTGCTTTAATGCTTTTCAAGTTATTGCGGTAAAAATATATTTTATGGCAGTTATTAACACTTTGTTGAGCATGTGACCTTTAACCTCTTCAACCCGAAATGTAAGCAGTTCACCCTTGCATGCTCATACATACAGGATCTAAGTTTGGTTTGAATCCGCTCAATGGTTTTGAGTTATCGCGCTAATGAAAAACTGAACAGACAGACAACCCGAAAACATAATTCCTTGTGCACCACCTTTGGCAGTGGAGACATCAAAATGGACCGGTAATCTTTTGGTGTAGTATGCCGTTACAAGCTGTCTAAATCTTCATCTAGTTTTCAATACTTTTGACACAGAAAGCTTTGTGTTTCTTCTTGAAACTCACAAGGGACTTAAAAATTGTGATATTACATAAAGGAATGTACTTAAAGAGTTAATTTGTTAAATCTTGTTTGTGATAGGCATTCATGAACTTGGTGACACTTTAAATGTTAGAAAATAGAAAAAAAGGATTAAGGTTATGTCAGGATGAAAAATGAAAACAAAACTACTATATGTGAAAAAATTTCTCACAAAATTGAAATGTGATGAATTTGTGTGTCACTCTTTAAAGTTAAAAACGAGACATAATCCATACCTAATAAATCATTGATATTCGATGGTTTAGCTGTATCCGGTTCAGGGCATGGAGCCATGTGACTCGTCTCTGGTTTCAAGGCCACTCCAATCTAGAGGGTAAAGACATCAAATGTGATAATATCAAAAAAAGAAAATGAAGCATTTGATTTGGGGTACACAATGTGAATGACATAATTTCTTATCATATCACTGTAAATATATTGAAAAATCAAAAAAAGTGGTATGCTGTTTTCTACATCCATATGACAAAGCACAAGTCAAATCCCACATGTATACGGTATTTGAAAAAGGCCATTTCTCTTGCGAAACACTACAGAAAACATTTTGCCTGAAATCTAAAAACATTATATGCACAATTCAAACAGAAGAAACACTTCTAAGTCATTATGGTCTAAAACCTTAATAGTACTAAAACCGTGTCGTGAATGTAAGTGGGCATAATTTATAGGTTTCAAACCACTTGAATATTGACTTACTCTTTTGAAGAGTCCTTTGGTATTGTTGACTATCTTGCCTTGTTTCTCACCAATGATATCTCTTGAGTTGGCAAGTCGGGCCTTTATTTTGTTTCTCTTACTGTAAGGAAAAGGCAACACAGAACATCACAAAAATGTGATCAAAATTCCAATGCGATCGTGAAAAGCGACATGGTAATTGCAGGTAGGAATGTTGAAAAGTATTTAGCAGATAAGTGTTAGTAGTTTTTAATGATGCTGTAAACATTGAAAACACAACAGAACATGCCTATTAACTTTTAAAGACATAGGCTGTACATTTTTGGAAACTATAAATCATATGCTTACCGGTAAAAAGATTGCATTGCTATCTTTGACATTCCTCTATAGCACTAAATTTCTACTATACAAGTTTAAACTCGGTATTGTAAGCAAATATGTACCTAATAATCTGTCACAAATTCAAGACAAATCTGAACTTTTATGATTATTATTATCTAAATCATACAAATTATATATTTTCACATAACAATCTAGGTAGATAGAATTATCCAATCCATTACAGATTTTTTTAAACAATAAGCAACATAATAATACATAAGATTTATAAGGCGCCAAATCTACTTGACAGTCAAATGCTCAAGGCGCAGCTTGTGCAAAAGATGAAATACATGATGAATATATACAAAAGTGCAATAGGAAAGGTACAGACATGAAAGGTAATGGTAATCAATTATAAGCTACCAGGTAAATTAAACAGATATTTCTTAAGACATGAATGTTGAAATCCTTGCTTTATTTTCATTGCACAATGTGTACAGGGTCAGATGTATCTTGATTAGATATGTAACACTCACCCTCCTCCTGACGCCTTCTCATCTTTATCTTTCTCTTCATCTGAAATGAAAGCAAAAATAAAATCATGAAACTTGCACTTTCTTATTATTGATCAGCACTTTTGAAAAAAGCAATTCAGGAGCACCACAAGACTGTCTTTCTTTCTCTATATCTGTTTTTCCCCCTTGTTTTTCTCCTGTATTTGGGTTAAGAATAGACTTGTTGGGGTAAAACAGACTTGGGTATAACCAACAGAGATGCATCAGTATTGTTTAAAGTAAATAATGTCATATGAACTTTTCTTATACAGTAGGCTTGCGGGTGCACCATGTGAGAGAGAGGGAGGATTGAGGAGTCCTGAAAAGGACTCTCGGTAATCTTTCTTGAGAGTGTGTAGTCCTGAAAAGGACTGTTGGTGTAGTCTTGAAAAAGACTGTTGGTTATCTTTCTTAGCTTATAGTTCTAAGGAGAACTACAGCGCTTGGAGAGGATGAGTGGCGGGAGTGGCTCGACGTTTCAAACAGGTTGACTATCCGTCGTCAGGAGTGGAGAATAGCTGGCGTGCATGAGCTTAAGTCACCGGGTTGAGGACGTGGGGGAAATATACATGACCGTGTGGCTTGAGTCATCGGGGAGTGGACTTTTCTTGGTATACATGTGCAGTCTTAGACCACCAGATCAGTTATTTTTTAAAGACCATATGCCACACTTTATGATTAGTACAGTTTATTCCTTAAATTTCCTTCTTTAAAGTTATACATTGAACCCCAACTCTGATATGTCTCATCACAATTTAGATTAAATTCTTGTGACAGGTAATTCAAACTTCCTCACTTTATCTCGTTCACATTCGTTCTTCCTCCACTCACCATCTACTAGTTGATAAGACTGTGCAGTCCTAGCTGGTAGCACAGGAATGTCACTCCCCATGTCATCTAAGCTCTCTCCTGGAAAAACAAAAATAGAATCACATCTCAGCAAAATGATACAAAGAGGTCTCAAGACTTATACATTGAGATTTTCTGAGATAACACAATCAACGTCAGGAAATGTCAAGAAAAATCAAAATAAGAGCCGCACATTTTCTCTGGAACGGACCAAACTTTCCATCAAGGAAAAAAACACTACAATTCTTTGCCAGGTTCGTACAACCACTTCTTTGTTTCTTGTGAGTGTGTGAATATTTTGTGAACTGGTCTAGTCAAGATATGAATCTGGTTGTGCTACGGCAACAGTTGCTCTATGATCGATTATTAACCCTGACCAAATTCCTTACTTCAACCCTGGATCAAATTTACCTAAACCTAACCCTGACCCTAAACTATTCTTAAAACCAATGGTAACTCAAACCCTCATCATTTTCCTTAGCCAAAATATATCCTGGCGAAATTGTCGTAGGAGCAAATGTTATCTCACAGTGACTCTTGATTCCATACCTGTTGCTGAGTATGTGCTGTCTGTATCCATGAAGGAATCAAAGGTACCATCATGACTGGGTATTCCTACCAGATCATAAGCTGCATCTCCATTTCCACCAGAGACACTCTCCCCCCGCTTGGGTTTCTCCGGTGCTACAATCTTACTGGTATCCACATAGCTGTACTCTTTGGAAGAAGCAGACATTCTCTGTCCAGACTTGTTGGGGGAGCTGGAGACTTCAGAGTATGCCTCAGAGTACATGGCCGATGCCGCCTTTGGACTCGCTGCACCTTCTTCACTCTTTAACAGCTTATCAATGTTGCTCGTTGGCTGCTGTACGTAAGCATACTCATCAGAGTTCTTACGAGAGGATCTGCTGTCAGACCCGGAGGATTGGACCGAGCCGCTAGAGAGCTTTCGAAGCGATTCTGTCTTTCTCCTTATGATGCCACTATCCTTGGCATCAAAAGAGTCCATCTGCTGAGTGGGTGAACCCCTAAAGTTCTTACTGCTTGGTAACTCTGTAGTGTCCTTGACCTTATCATGTGGAGGACTTATGTGTACTTCTTCATAGTCGTGTCTACCCTTGACACTGGTCCTGTCTTCACCATTGGCTCTTTGTAAAGGGGGTTTAGCACTGGCAGGTGGTTTAGGTGGGGGTTGTGATGGGCGATCTTTAGAAATCCCTTTGTTAAAGCCAGGTTTAATAGGGCCTTGCCGTACTCCAGGGGAAACCATTCCCCTATCTCCTTCTGATTTACTCTTTTCTAGATTCCTTGTTGGCTTGATGGGTAGTCTGAGCGCTTCCTTCTTGTCAGTGTTCTTAGCTGCTGAATGAGAGACATCCTTAGCAGGTGTTGACCTTGTAGCTGGATTGGAATTTTGTCTTGTGGCAATCGCTTTGAAAAACTCCCCGTTCCCGGTTTTCTCTGATACAGGTTTAGCATTAACATCCACCGAGCTGGGTTTGACTGGTGGGCTTGGTTTGGTCTTGGGCTTCCCTGCTATATGTGGTTTAGCATGAGCACCAGGTTTCACAGCCTGACCTGGCTTGGGTTTGGTTAGGACCACAGAAGTGGGAGTTGGTGATGATGGTGTCGTCTGGGTTCCTCCAACATCGAACTCAATATCCTTAAACGCTGACAGTGTTGCCTTGAAGTTGCTCTTGAAGCGGTCATCAGGGCTAGGACGAGGCTTTGCCTGTGAAGTTTGCTTGCTACTACTAGGATGGGAAGCATCTTTTGATGGCTTGCCAGAGTCTCCTGATGTAGCACCAACATCACAGTTGGCATAAATGGAACCATCTGGGCTGTCAGAACCTCTTGAGGATTTAGGTGGTCCGGAGGGTAATTTAGGCATTGGTAGCTCTGGTGAATCTACGGACACTATAGATGTTACACAAGAAAGAAGAAGAAGAAAAAAATCATAAACTGATCTTCACTTTGAGAATTACAATTGTTATTCAGAACTGTACTGAACACATTGTACAAAACTTAATTTTTTAATTTTCTTCATTCTAGGCATAGATATATACATTTAACAACTAAATTATTCATACCCTTATTATGTTTAAAATTGATTTTTCACAATGTTTGCTTCTTGTAAATAGGACATACATGTATTAAAGCTTACATCTAAAAGTATTCAACAAAGGCCCTGATTCAACCAGTCCACCTTTCATTCTTGAGTTAAGAAAAACACGACAAACATCATATTTACAAAGGTTATGAATAACTTAGTTGTTAACTGTAATTTAGTTCTTTGTTATATAGTTATTTATCTTCAAAGTGAAGACAAATAATAGGAATAAAAACATATGTTGAACCCCTGGTCAGCTCTTACAAATAGAAATTACAACTGGAAGACCCCACATGGTGATAACCTAGCCAAACTACACTGGTTCACTGTAGCATGGACATCCATGTAACAACAGAAGTAAAAATACAGATCCAAACTTGATTATTTTACAAGCATCTTCATTTATACAAGGAATAAATGGTTAGAACATAGACGGAGGTACAAGGAGACCATGTTCCCTATGTTCCTCCGAACCTCATTATATCTGTGATGATTTTTAACTATGAATACGGTTCGCTATTAATCCGTTGACTACTGAATTATCTAATTCCCATAGACTTAACACAGGGACCACCAGGTTCCAGTAAGCAATGGGTTAACAGCAAAAAATGAATGAGTGTACCTCCTTTGGGTGTCACATTGCAGTTGACGTAATTATGACTTGAGGAGTCTCTCTTGTCTGCTGCTGCTCCACTCTGCCCAGGTACCTTGGGTGGCATTCTCGGCTGAAACAAGATGTAGAGAAGAGATCTTCATAGCATTTTTCTTTATCTTCATGTGTATCTTAAATCATCATCATCATCATTTACACTATTGCATATACAGTAAAAACTGCCTTAGTGACCACCTGTCTACAAAGACCACTTTCTGTGTTTCCCTTGGGGGTCGCTATAGACAGGTTTGACTGTTTATCAATCCATTAACATTGTGAGACTATTTGTGGATTATTAATGAAATTATTAGTCTGCATAGATTTAGGAATACCCTAGATGGCAGAATATGATTAAATATTTGATTTGAAAAAGTAATATGTTTCAAGTTAAGTGTACATTGAAATCTTTATTGAGAGTATGTATACAATTTTTGCTGTTATTTGTTTTTTTCTTACCAAACAGGGCCTCATGGAAGACCACCAAATTGGTGATATGTGCCACCCTGTATAAATATCAGAAATAAATAAATAAATTTAGATTTTAGGATTATATTCATGTTAACTTACCTGCTCAAAGTGTTCATGCTTGAGTTGAACATTTTCATAGTTGTGACCATAATCCTCAGGTTTGATGCCTAGATGAGCCTGAAACATGTCAACCACTGCTCTGTGCACCAACTCATATTGATTCTAAGATAATAAAACAAACAAAACAGTACATGTGAATAATCGTGTTCTATTACAGACAAACATTCGTTATTTGTTATTTATTAATTTCCATTTACATATGTACGTTTTTATTCAAATGATGGCATAATTTACATGGACTGATCAGAGATATTACTCTGAGACATATTCTAAAAGGTAAATAGACTGGATGATAAACTTTATCTAGCAGTTTGCTGGAAACCTACTAACAACAAAAACCCACAAACTGCTAATCGATATAGCTTGATTTTCTCCACTCTCAATTGATCATAATTATATATAATTCACATCTAAAAATTTCCAATTGATTACCCTTGTCTGCACAATGGCATGTCTCTGTTTCCTCATCTCCACAATGATATCATACAGACTGAAATTCTGGTCAATTTTCTGTAGAATTAGAAAGAAAAAAAATGGATTGAAAATATTAAGTATATAGGAATAAACACAATATTTCCATCACAAATCATCATCAGGGGAAGGGGGAGGGGGGGGGGGGGGGCTTTGAGCTGAATATTGACAAATCTTAAGTTCAATATTAAACATTCATCTGACAAAATATGGTTTACCACAATGACATTGCTATTATTAGAGCCTATGATCTTTAAGGAAAGAAATAGCAATTAATCAAAAGATTCATGCAACAAAAGCCCAGATCTATAAAAACATTAAGACTACTTCAAAGAAATGCCTATAGATGCAAATCTTAGCATTTCAGCTAGATTTGACAAAATAGAGTTCACTAACATCCATCTGTCAAAACAGGCTTTTGCATAATGACGCACGAAAAGAAATCTTCAATCTTCTTTCTTTCTTCTTTCTTGCTAATAGTGCCTAGCCATGATCTTTATGATAGGAAATTGATAATAAGGTTTGGGCAACAGCAAAACATCACCATCAGCTCTATAAAAACTAACATTAGTCTCCTTAAATTCCAATAAAATGCTTTGTAAATCTTAACATGTCTCAGAATTCCATCTAATTTTGTATCAAGAGGGCTTTTCAAATTATGTACATGGCACCTACTAGATGCAAATAAATCACACTAGAGAATATTGGTTTTGACATTACAAGGCAACACTTATATTGTCAAGATATTATTTCATGAGAAAGTAGCATAAGGGTAGTGAATGTGAAGTGCTATAAATTCCCTATATGTCCTCTAATTAATTTCTGGAATCATTTGTACAATATTATGAACAGGGCTCTTGATATTCTTATTAAAACCGAGCAGAAGTTTCCCATTACTAAACTGATTATAGTTTTCTTAGTACACTGAATCTTTAGACGACATTATTGCAACTTTGTTACTGTTCAACGACCTGGATACCACCTTTGAATACAGCTTAAACACAAATGCGGATTGGCAAATAGCATGTAAGTTACATTATAATTGATTGCATTAATTCATTCATTTGGACTTTGGACTCATGTGTTCAATTCTCATGATTGATAACCAACTTTAGACGCTGGTTTCAATATGACTTTGATAAAAGGTCTTAAACCACATTTACAGATAAATCTGCCTTGGGCTTTTGGATTATTAATTGGAATGCATGATCACGCTCATGCATAACTTTACTTTGTTTATTTGTGATACATATTTGAGAGTTAAACTTTTGATCGCAATACCAAAATTGATTACGTCATGAAAGTCTAGTTCGGGTCACAGATTAACCACAGATGAAGGCTGTGACAGCTGAAAAATTCAGAAGTAAAGATTTTTTTTCTATTGAACTTGGTCTCAAACAAAGCATTCTTGACGTAAACATACCTCTAATTGAAGAGCATTCCTGACGTAATCTATGACGCATATTGTTCCTGTTCTTCCACAACCAGCACTGCCAAAATAGCAAGAAGGGAGAGAGAATAAAATTGGGGAAAATGGAAATCTTTAAAAATGGATTCAATCAATAAAAAAAACTATATGGCTAAGGACTTTAAAGGGGGTGATATGGAAAGCTGAGAAGGGGAAAGGGAAGGGAGGAAAATGCTAGCGTATTATTTTGTTCAATCACTTGTATTCCTGCAAAATGTTTACAGCTAAACAGTTTGAGGAGCTTCTACTTAGATGAAGATAGAATATATAGTATACCCAGACATAAATAATGAAAACTGATTTCTAAGTCTCTAGCAAAACCAACTAAACATAAGACTTTAGTCAATTTTGCCATCAACTTACATTTAATGCAAGTATATAAGCTGATAAAGTGAAACTGTTTTTATAACTGTTTCTAGTCCCACAGCATACATGATTGTATTTGAAAAACACCATTGGAGTCGTTCATCAGTGTAAATTCATGCATTTATCATTAATCAGGCCAGCATAGTGCGTTGGCTGATCAAACTTAACAAATACATAAACAAGGAACGTGCATGTAGAAAGCTGATGTATGAGAGAGTTGGGCTTGCAACTCAAGTGAAACTGAAATAGGTATCAACAGAAGTCAATTCATGCAGTAGGAGATTTCATTGCACATCACCAACATCTATTGTGAATGATACATGCATGTATGTAAATCTGTACAGAGATTAATTCAGTTGTTTTTATGAGGAAGTTCACACTAATTGCGCATTGTGGTAAGTGACGAAAGTACAACAGAAACACAAATTGAATGGAAAAAGACACAGAATACCTATTCACTTAGCAAATGAGTAAGTTATTTCCATTGATAACGTATCATTAATTAATACATTATAATACATATCATGCATCAGAGACCAATTATGGTGTATATCATAATTTATAATGATTTCTATCTTCCTGTCTCGAAGATTACACCCTAGATTTCATGATTCATGGAATAGATGCTCTTCTACAGATTAAAGAAAGCTTCAAAAGTCTAGGCTGTTTAGGGGCTATTTTGACTTTCATCTACAAATCCGATGGCCGAAAATTACCTTTCGGCATGTGAAGGAAAAAAGAGTATCAAACCATCTGAATCTATCAAGCAGAAAATAGCCCCAGTACTAGAGACTTGATGCTCAGAGGGATGCTACATGATGCGGGCTCAGGGGCACGGCGTTTCGCCTCTTAATTGGCTTGATCTCAGGGATGGAGACGCATTGTCGAACACGCGCCAGATTAAGCACCACACCGAGTGCAATTACCTCGGTGATGATGGCATGGTTGTCAAGTATTAGTCATGGATGCCTCGAGGCAGACGATGGAGAGAGACGATGGCGATCATGGTGAAGTAGCCGGAGGCTAGGAGGACACTCAGTCAATGATCTCTCCCCTTCGTATCTAGCAATATTCACTTGTTATAGCAACAGCATTTTGAGTGCTTAATATTAAAAAGGAAAAAATCGGATGCGTTTCCTATTATATTCATAATAGAGTTCTGTCGCCTGTAAATGAATGTCAGAAAATGAGTGTTATGTTTTGATTGGATTTTGAACATCCTTACACCATGCTGTTAGACTACAGTGTCAATATGAAATGTGTTGATCAGTAGACATGCCATATGACAACTGAAATATTAACTGTTCAGAGCCTGAAGGAAATAAATCTGTGAATAAAAGCCTTTCTTCCTTCTACAGATGTTATTACTTGTGGTCATAAGATGTGTTGTGCCTCACTACTTCACTGACTCATGTCAAGACTCAAGAGTGGATATGAGCATTCCAGATTTTAATCACTTGCATTTTACTTGAATGATACGATCCAACGTTAAAATGCCTACCGGATAATGTTGTAACCCTAGCTAACACACCTGACTAAAATCAGGAAATGGAGACCCCAAAACAACAAAGGCTAAGGACACTTAAACAATCCTAATTGCTCAGAGTGAAATATGTTATTGTCAAACACAATGAAATACGACTCATGAAAAGCCATACAAAATTACAAATGTATTCTGAAATTGAATAACAAATTGTGTTTTGCTAGCCTAGCTTGTGATGACAACTTCTTTCAGCTATCGAATGACAGGTATTTAACATTGAATGCATTGCCACAAGTACTTTGGAGCCGAATCTATGATTTATTTTCAGTCAAGTCACAATATGCTAAATGGGAATGATGGACAATACAATGTTAAGAACCACAAAGTCATTATGCTGTCAAGCCTATCCTGTTTCATAGGAGTTGGGAGTGGTACCGGTATATGGGAAGGAAAATAGCATTCACTTCTCGAATGATGACGTGAAAGAATTTACAATATTCAAAGAAATGCTCCTCCTTGAGAGTTCCAATGCCCGACTGATGATGTTAAAAATGTGGGTGATCTGAATCTATTCCGATGATGAATAACAATTTGTGTTTTGCTAGCCTGAGATGACGCACTATTGCAGCTATCAAATGACAGATATTTAACATTGAATGCATTGCTATTTCCTTTCTGAAGTATGTCGCAGCCTCAGCTATGATTTATTGTATGTCAAGTCACACTAAAGTTCTCAGACCGGGTTGATATTTTAGTCACATGAAGCCAAAATAATGCCAGGATAAAGGAAAGGGGGGGGGGGGGTGAGCTGGAACAAGAAAAGAAAAGAAAAGCAAATAACAAACTAACAAACAGACAGACACTATGTTATATATTCAGGACTCAAAATCCATTTACAGTGAGGTGGAATTATTGACGAGTGCAACAAATTAGTCTCCAATTAGTCGCTGTGTTATACAAAAACAGAAAATGTTTTCATAACAATTAACATGAGGGGTAATTTATCTTTTCTAGGTTTTATGCATCATCTCCAACATCATGAATGTACATATACTCTGATGAATACATCACATGTTTCTTTGCTGTCTACAAAGGTCTCCCAACTGTATTGTCAATAGAAACTTCCTTTTCAATTGAACAATGCTCAATTGGGATAATCCAAAATAGCTTTACAATGAACAACGTCTGTTAATACAGGAAAGAGTCTAACTTGAGGGTCTTCAGCTGACACATTCTTATCCCCCGAACAACACCTAACCTCCGCAATACAACGACGTCGAGATTTACACAAAAAAGTAGAACACTGGGAGTTATGTGCAATTGTATTGAATCAGAGACAGGCAGTATGACATAATCTCATATATATCCCACCAAAACAAAAGCCCCCCTTCGCTCAATCCATGGAGTCATTTCAACGTGACTCAGCTCATTGTCAGACGTCAGTCAACTGACTCAATCTCCCCGACGTGCTGGCTAAAATTAGCACCAAACGACATAGGGGCGACATCTAAAAATATATAGTGTGAACTTGTTGAGTTTGTAACAAAATATGATTATAATTGAAATAATGAAAACACAACATATTGAAATTTTGAATGATTCACCTAATATCATCAGATACAAATAAAGTTGATTGCTTCATTGAATACTGCCTTGTATTGTTGCATGATACCAAGCAAATAAAATATATAAATGTGAATTCTAAACATTTTATTTAACTTTTTATTGGAAAAATTTAATCAGTGTACTAAGGCCTGCTAAAATCAATTGTAATATTTTAACATTATAATATTTTAACATTATAATATTTCATTTGCATTATAATGTATCATGGTCATGTTCTTGCAGTTTTTTTAGTTTTGTTGTTTGTTTGTTTGTTTGTTTGTTTTTTTCGGGGGGGGGGGGGGGGTGTAGATGTTCAATGGAATGGTGAAAAATTGAATGACATTATAAAAAATTTATATAACATGGGTCATGGTTCTTTTTAAACAAGTATGAGTTTATGTAACACTTCAAAATACCATATATGGTTGCCAATAACATTGACAGAGCTTGACAGGACTAGACATTTGCAACAATGAATTGATGTGGCATTTTGATCTCTGAATACAAGTCAGAAATATATACATTAGTACATCTGGGTTCCAAGAAGGTTTTCCATAATAGAATTCAAAGTATTCAGGAAGAGAGGCTAGGGAGCATTCTCTGGAAATGTCAATGAGAGCCTGCATGTGACCCTGTCAGCTCTATCAAATCTATTCATAACTCATGAATAGAATGAGATTCATAAATCATAACTGCATGAAAGTGCCAGATATTATATCAAACTGCATATCATGTTTCTTTGGCAGCACAATATATGGTGTTAAAACAATTGGTTGGCAATAATCCAAGATAACCAGATTGCAAGAGAATTTGGACTAAAAAAATAAGGAATCAAGGAGAAGAGGGGGGGGGGGGGGGGGTTCAAAAGCATAACAAGTAATCTATAATAGAAAATATGTCACTATTATAATAGCTTGCAGATAGCTTTAGCCAAAGCAAAGACAGGCAAACAGGGAAATACAGTCTTCAAATTATAAAAAAAATCAGAAAAAAATGTCTCAAGCACCACCTTTAATTGATGGTAACAGTCATAAAGACAATAATGAAACATGTTTAGGAGGAAAGGAGAGAGGGAAGCAACAAAAAGGAAAGGGAAGACCAAAAGAGGAAGCAGAGGCTCACATCGAGGTTCACAAATATAAAGTGAAGAAAGGGGAAAACAAAAGGAAGCGCATGGAAATCGTTGTTGGTTTAATGCAATAAAACTTAAAAAGGCAAAGAATGGATCATGATTAGAATTAATCAAAATATAAATTATGGAACAAAAAGAAAAAGGCCTACTACTAATTTGTAGTAGATCCATGCTAAGACGACGGAGAAAGATGTGTAATTTTTAAAGAACCAGAAAGAGAGAGTGCAGAGAGAGGGGGAGGAGAAGGACAGATATGAGTGGAGTTTCAAAAGAGTGGATGAAAAAAACAAAGTGAGAGAGGGGTAAGCTATTGAATAGTATTTAAAAAAGAGGAATACAGGTAATTCAGAGAGAGAGAGAGAGAGAAACAACAAGCGCACGCAAGTAAGATTGATAGGCAGCTAAAGCGTGAAAACGATAGAAGGGGGATGCGGGT